TCCTCCTCCCCCCTCTCATCCCCATCCTCCTCCTCCTCCTCCTCTTCCTCCTCCCCCCTCCTCCTCCTCTTCCTCCTCTTCCTCCTCTTCCTCCTTTTCTTCCTTCCTCCTCCTCCCCCCCCCTCCTCCCCCTCCTCCTCTTCCTCCCTTCGTCTCCCTTCCTTGCCACTCCCCGCCCCCTCCTTTTTCCTCCTCAACGCTGCTCCTTCCTCTCCCCTGCATCCCCTCTCTCTCTCTCTCTCTCTTTCTTTTTCTCTCTCTCTCTCTCTCTCCTCTCTCTCTCTCCCTCCCTCCCTCTCTCTCTCTCTCTCTCTCTCTCTCCTCTCCCTCTCCCCCTCTCTCTCTCTCTCCTCTCTCTCTCTCTCTCTCTTTTTCTCTCTCCTCTCTCTCTCTCTCTCTCTCTCTCTCTCTCTCTCTCTCTCCTCTTTCTCTCTCTCTCTCTCTCTCTCTCTCTCCCCCCCCCCCCCCCCCCCCCCTCTCATCTTCCTGCTCCTGCCGCCGCGACATTCCCCGCCCAGGCGACTAAATGCATGCTGCAGGCGATCCAGATGGGGCCCCCGTGGATCGCACACGGCGACATGGCGGGCCCCGCCCGTCTCGGGGCCGACCTTACCCATTAAATCCGCCTTCCTCCACATGCGTGGAGGAAGGGGCGAATAGGAGGCTGGGGAGGGGGAGCGGATGGAGCGCCCCCCAGAGGAATCGCTGCGGGCATTATACATCACCAAAGGCTTCAAGGACACGTTCACGCAGTCGTGGTCCGAGCACCAGATCTGGATGTCAGATCCCGTGGGGAGCTCTGGAGCCATTAACTGGAGCGCCAAGGTGCGGGGTGATCAGGAATCGACGCGAATCGAAACCCTCGGTGGAGCTCCTGCGGGGTGACGAGCCGTGTGAGGTGCGTCGGCATGAGCCTGATGCAAGGTCTCTGGGGGCGCCAGGAATCGTCGAAAATCAGCGGGGAGCCGGCGAAGGGACCCTGTATACCATAGGGGGAGTCAGGGGGCAGTCGGGGGGCCGTATCCAAGGGGGCGCCGTGCCTCGAATCGCCCCCCCCACGGCGTGCCCACGCGGGTCCGCGCGGGCCCTCCCCATTTGCGATTCCCCTCATATCCACGACCCACCGGCCCCCCGCGATCGTGCAGGGGGATATGTCGTCTCGTCGAGCGGGGGTGCCATCTGTCTCCCGAGGCGTCGGCCCTGGCGAACGATCTCGGGCTCCCAGTGACGCACGCGCAGCAGCAGCAGCAGCAGCTGCAGGGCGACCCCCCCGCGACTCCGACTGCGGCGCCGACTGCGGCCACAGCGAGCGGCGCATCGACGGCGCCGCCGAGTTCGGCCCCGGCGAGCAGCGGCGCATCGGCGACACTACCGAGTTCGGCCCCAGCGAGCAGTTGCGCTGCGCCCGCTGCGGACATATGGGGGCAACTGACAAAACATATGGATGACATATACATATATATATATACACACATATATATATATATATATACGGACAGATGACGGTGAGGAGGCGGGGGAGGACGAGGATGGGGGGGGAGGGTCGAGGGGGGGAAGAGGAGGGGGGGCGGATGAGGAGGGGAGAGGAGGTTTTGTTATTCATGCATTTGCAATCCACCAGGACACCTCGCAGGCCGCGAAGCAGAAGAAGAAGGAGACCGCCCCCGACGAGCTCTTGGCTGAGGCTCGCGGCACGCTCGCGCTGCACAACACGGTAATGGCGACAGCGAACACCATCAAGGCGTCGTCTGAGTCAGACGCCAGCTGGGCTTTCGTGAATACGGACTCCGACGGCAAGAAGTTCCTGGAGCAGCTGGCCGAAGTTTTCGGCATAGTCAAGGAGCGCATGGTGGATGGGGAGGAATGAGAGGATGGTGATTTGGAGGAGCCATTGAAATGTTTCTGCTGCTCGGCTGTGTGTTCGGTGCCGCGGCCCTCTGGGGGTGGAACCTCTCCCCTTCTAGAGTGCCCGCGAGGCTGTCCTCGCATGGCCCCATATCGACGTCCATCGAGCCCCGCGGGTGCTATAGGCCAGCTCCGCAGGACGGGCGCTGATTCATAGCGCCCCCCGCGGCGCCCAATGGGCCCTCGAAAACCTCCCTCGAGGACCCGGTCTTGGCGCAGCTGATCCGCGAGGGCATGCAGAAGGCGCGCGCGAACCTCGGCGAGCGGAAGTTCGTGGGCTGCCTCAACACGTTGGCTGCCATCGAGAAGCCGCTGGCCAAGCTGCAGAAAATGAACGCGAAGATCATGCAGATCCACGCCGCCAAGACGATCGAGAACGACGAGTCCGATGAGTCGGACGAGGCGGCCCCCGCGCCGAAGGCGAAGGCCAAAGCGAAAGGCAAGAAGAAGGCCAAGGCGAAGGCGGCGCCGTGATCCCTTTAGTAATTAGTCTCGCCACTGAGCCCCCAGTGGCCTCTGGGGGGTTTCGCCGGGAACAAACGCTACAGTAAACAACGCAATGCCGAAAAAAACGATCGGAGCCGAACAAAATACTAAATGACGCGATCGGACACGACCCATCGACCGATGACAGACCGATGACAGGGCGATGACCGATGACCCCCGATGACGCCCGATGACGTCATCGCACGTCCAATGTCACAGGCGCGGGCCCGATGACACCCGATGACCCCCCCCCCCCCGATGACACCCTCTCCAGTGTCATCGATGACCCTCGATGACCGATGACATGCGATGACGCCCTCCAGAGCTCGTTCCGCGTGCTGCCCCACCTATATTCTCTCGCGTGCGCAGCGTGTGGTCAGTGGCGCGAGCGCCCAAGATCGCACATTTCTGTACGTTTCGAATTTAGTTGAGACTGCTGGTGCATATATGCACCTGCCGCGCGCGGAGGGACGTCGAGTGCGCGAGTTGCGATTGGGCTCCGCTTTCGCCATCTCGCACTATGAAGAATACGGGCGGGTTACAGGAGGAGGTAACCGTGCGAATATCTAGGTCAGGCCAGTTGGGGTGACTGTAACGTCGGGCCCTCATCCGTGCGCGGCGCCAGCTAGGCACGTGGTGATGCACGGCAACTGGTCGCGGTCTTGGCAGCGGAGAGATCGTTGCCTTTGGTGCCGAGCCTGAACATGCGCGGCACGTGCGAGGGGGGAACGAAAATGATGAGCGGTATCGACGATGAAGGAAATACGCACGATGATGGTTGAAGATGAGCAGGGCGAACATCGAGGATACAGACGACGAGGAGGAGGATGAGGAGGAGGCAGAGGAGGATGAGGAGGGGGAAGTTGAGGAGGATGAGGAAGAAGAGGAGGAGGAGGAGGACGAGGAGGAGGATGAAGAGGAGGCAGAGGGGGCGGAGGATGATGATGAGGAAGATTATGACGATGCGGAGGCGGCGGACGAACGCGAGGAGGGGTGGAACGAGGAGGGACATGATGCCGAGGATGAGGAATAGAAGGGGGAAGATGATGATGGGGATGAGGAGGATGATGAGGATGAGGAAGACGAAGAGGAGGATGAGAAATATGCTAAAGGATGGCACGGAAACTGCGCGGGGATCGCCATGGGGGGAGCCCGAGCCAGATCTCGCCCTGACGGGTACCATCGCGAGATCCCGTCATCGCATTCGTCATCGCACCGTCATCGCCCCCGTCATCGCCCCGTCATCTGCGATGACGGGTGCGATGACAGGGGCGATGGCGGTGCGATGACCAGTGACCTTCAGCTCCGCGCAGATCTGGCATCGAGCTCTCTCCTAGGCCACAGCAACGGCTATGTGATGACCGAAGCGGGGCCGAGCGATGAAGGGGGGGGGCGCATGCGTGCTTCCTCGGCCGCTGGCCGCCCCTCCCGCTGTCGGTCGACGACGACCCGAAGGCGGGCGCGAGCGCGCGCGCGCGCTCGCTTGCTTGCTGTGGTTGCCTCAGTACATCGTCCCCCATCCACATCCTGTCATGTGTCCTCTTCCTCCCCCGAGCTCCTCTCACTCCTCGACTGTTTCCCCCCCCTCTCATCTATCCTCTCGTTCGCCCTGTCCTCTCTCGTAGCCACTTTGGCTCGGGGCGCGCGGGGCCCTGGCCTCGGCGCCGCCTGCGGCGGCGATGGCGCCCAAGGTGAGGAAACGCAGGCGCCCCCCTGACCGCGGCTGCACGGCGCGCAGAACGGAGCGCAGCACGCAGTCCCAGAGAGACGCGGGTTCGAATTTGCTGCGCCAGTTTCTGCGGCTCCATAGTTCAGCAAAGCTCTCCGCGCTCGATTTCTGCGAGTTGTGCCACTGGAGTGATCTAGCTGGCGCGCCTGGCGCTGCGTTCAGTTTATACGCTGTGCGCCCAGGCGAACAGTCAGGGAAACACCAGGACCACTTGGACAAAGTACTGCCGAATGTGAAGCACTTGACGACTGTGGCGACTCCTAGCAACGTTAACCGACGAGCATTGCGGTCAGTCAGGGACGTCATGGTACGGTGCATTTACGAGAGCATCGATGATGAGCTCATTGCCAGCCCTGAAACACAACTGACGTGTCCCATCGCCGATCTCGATGACGACTCGCCGATGCGCCTCCCAGTGTACCAGAACCACCCAGTGGTGAAGCAAGCCGAACGCGACGGGGTGCCCAGGCCGCTGCCGGTCGCGTTCTACCTCGACGGTGTGCAGTTTCGGGCGCCTGCAGCAGGCAGGACCGATTCAGTGCTGGGGCTTTGGGGGATCAATTTGTTATCGAGGAAGCGTCATCTGATGAGTGTACTGCGAGGCTCAGATATGTGTTTATGCGGCTGCAAGGGCTGGTGCACCATATATCCGCACCTCCAGTCAGCGCAGTGGATGTTTGAATCAATGAGCAAGGGCGTGCGCCCCCCTCAGCGGTGGGACGGTGCTGAGTGGGCGCCACCTTGTCCAATTGGAACGTCGGCGAGGGATCGCCCGCGCTTGTCCTATAGAGTAGCTCTGCTTTACATCAAAGGGGACTGGTCGGAGCACGCGCACTCATTGGGCCTTTCTTCGTGGAGCGGCACGTGGGCGCCCTGCCAGTTCTGCACGCTGATAAAGAGTGATCTCCACTCCATGCACGACGATATGCCAGATGGCATGCGGTGGCATCTCAGAGACGGCCCCAGCTACGAGTCTGCGTGCAGCAGGTGCGAGGTCAGAGTAACGCTGCACATGCCACACGACATGGACTCTCTTCTGGACGCGCTGAGATGGCGGAAGCAGGCCAAGAACCCGCCGAGCCTAGGTGGCCGAATCATCGTTGCGGATGTCAACGTCGACAACGTGCAACTCATGGTTGGTGACCGATTGGAACCGTCGCGAGATCTGCCCGACACGGTCAAGCTTGACACGTCGCGCCTTCCGATTACCATCACATTTTGGCGGACTCGCAGGGATCATAAAGGGCGTTCGACGGACTGCGTCACCCATCGGCGTCCCATGTTCGATCGCTGCATCGGCACTAACGTTCGCGACAATTTGGCGGTAGACGAATTACATTGCCTGTATTGTGGCCCAATGATGAGGTACGTCAGTGCTTGCATGTGGCGAGTGGTTCTCCCCAACACTTGGAACTTCAATGGCACTGTCGATCAAATCGTGACGCAGGCGGGCCGCCAGATATCAGGTGAGTTGAAGGTGTGGCAGCGCGACAACAATGCACCTTTTGGAATGAGGCTGGGTGCGATCACGCCCAATATGCTGGGCAAACGCAAGGGCTGGACTACACGGGGCGCAATTGGGTACAAATAATAACCAACGTGGGGGGGGGGTCGGTTAGCTTCCGTGTCAGATCCACAACGCTCTCCTCGGCATCCTCCCTCCCCGCCTTCTCCTCCTCCTCCTCCTCGTCCTCCTCCCCCTCCTCCTCCTCATGTGTCATGCTCCTCCAAGGTGGCCCCCCCTCCTATCCCCCCCGCCCCCCCGCCCCCTGGTCGCGCGCCACGACCTACCCCAGCGGGGGCGAGCCGGTGGCATGCCCAGTCGGCGGGCCCCCCCCCAGCCGCGGAGGAGCCGGCACGCCCATCGCCCGATCGCGGAAGGGGCGGGCGAGTTCTGGCGGGAGTCGAGGGGGGGCGAGGAGGTGGAGGAGGAGGCGGAGGAGGAGGTGAAGAGGGTGGCGAGCAGGAGTGGGGGAGAGACCATAGCGCAGGTCATCGCACGCGTCATCGCAGATGACGTGTGCGATGACGCCCGACGTAGCGTTGTAGCTCGCCACCCTCAGGACCGCATCCATCCAGGTGATAAGATGACCCTCAAAGCTGCTGAATGTGGGCTCATGCTTCCGTTCGTGATGCATATTGTCTGCAAGTTCGGCGGTGTCAGTGTACATGGGCCGTTTCTCCTCCAAGCTGGTCAGTCGTTGCTAAGTCTCCTGAACACCATCCGAAAGCATCGTTGCATCGCCCCCGTGGAGGTGCGGCAGTCGCTTATTCTTCATTACGACATGCACATGCGATGCTGCATTGCCAGTTCAAGTGCCCTCACTCCGAAGCACCACCTCGCTGTGCACATGCTGTTCAGGTGAGCGTCTGGCTTAACCTAGCCCAAACCAATCCCGCGCCAGGGGGAACCCGACCCAACCCATCCCAACCCAAGCCCAATCCAACCCAGACCCCACCTCAAAGGGGGATGCCCTCATCCAAGCCTACCCAGAGCCCAGCCCGAGTTCAACCTAGAGCCCGCCCCGACACTAGTGTTACAAACCCGCGCACAGGGTGGATGTACATGGGTCACCGCGTGCATACAACTGCTTTGTGGACGAGGGGTTGAACGCCGTCCTCCGCGCGTTGGCCGTATATGCCCACCGATCAAAATTTGGGCTTCGAGCTTTCTCGACGTGGGATATTCAATCTGCGTTGAACGCATCACTCTACATAGCCCCTGGGCTCACAGATAGCATTTCGCTTTTGTCCGGGCTTCATCAGTGACCGCCAGTTCGACTCGAGATGGTCGACGGCGGCTTGCCCGTGCACGAGGAAGGATTGCGCTGGGCGCGCCAGGCAGGGGCGCGCGTCGTGCGCACAGGCGTCAAGATGTCTTGTGCGAGCGCGTTATTGGCAGTGTGTGTGGCCGAGTTCCTGTGCGTCTTGCCGCCAGTGACCAGGGCGACAGCGTTCCTCGAAGTCTTTGCTGGCTTTGGTGATACGGCAAAGAACGTTGCTGCTGCTGGCTACATCGCGCGCACGTTTGAGATGATGAATTCACGTTTTGAGAATGGCTGCACGGCAGTTGGTGCATTATACGCCATGTATCTCGTGGCCAGCGTGGTGCCGACAGGTCTTGTTCATTTTTCACCGCCCTGTTCGACATTTCTATGGATCGCCCGCTGGCACACGGGACGCCGCCCGCTGAACGTATTTGGCAGTGACGGTCGCGACGACGTACAGTGCGCTAACTTCTTGGGCGAGCTGACGCCCCGAGGGTTTCAATCCCATGTGGGGAGGAGCGCGCGAGGATGTGGGGGGAGATGAGGAGGATGAGGAGGGAGGGGAGGAGGAGGAGGAGGAGGAGGAGGAGGAGGAGGAGGAGGGGGAGCAGGATGGGGGATACGGAGGGTGGGGAGGGGGGTGGTGTGGCGGAAGGAGGGGAGGGCGGGGAAGGGGCGGGTGGATGGAGGAGCGGGATGTGCAAGTTAGAGGCGCGCTCGCGCCACATCTGGCATCCTAGACATCTTCCCCATGACGGCTACAGCAGGTCACGTGGGCAGCGGGGGGAGCGGATGTCGGGGGGCCGGGGGTGGCCAGCAAGGTCGTACTTGATGACGCTGGCGTCCTGCCGCTGCCTGCGCATCACGTGCGAACAGCCCCTGAACTCGCTGTTCTACGTGCTCCCTGGCGTGCGCTCGGCCATCAAGATGTGCAAGCTCTCGCGGCACGTTTCTTGGATGGGCGGATGGGGCGGGCCCACGATGAAGCCAGACGAGTTCTACACTAACATCATGAGCGACGAGGTGCGCGCCATCGTGAAAGGGCACAGGGAGGCCGTGTCAAAGCTTGGCGCAACCAGGCGACTTGCTTTGACAACGCGGGTCAGGAAAGCAGGCAGCCAGAAGCATTTCGTCATCGGGCAGAAGTCGCACCTGAAGCAGTCGGCCCGCTACCCGTCTGAGTTTACTGCTGCGTTCGCAAGCCTCGTTTGTGCAGGTTTGTCTCAGCGGGCTGCTAATGCGGCCCGCCGTGCGTAATTCAATGTCCGCGCTGGCCTGGATGTGTGTAGACACAATTGACAGCTCGCCGTTTCGCGCTTGGCCAGAGTCCTTATCCTCCTCATCGTCCCCCCGCTGCCTTCGCTGGTGCGTCATCGCACCCACCATCCGCGATGGCGGGGGCGATGACGGGCGGCGCCGTGTCAACCGTCGTCCACCGCGCGCCCGCGCGGGGCGTGGGTCAATGCAAGTTGTCGCCCGTTGTCGCCCGCGCTTTTGTCGGCGATCAACAAACGCATATATCGCACCACATATATTACAAGCGCATAGATTGCACCACATATAGATCGCCCGTTGGCGCGAAAAACAAACGCATAGATTGCACCGCATAAATTACATCACAAACTAGCACATTGCCCACGCTGTTTGGGGTCAATGCTGTACTGGTTGGGGATGCGCGCACTGTTTGGAGTCCACGCTGGAACCACGCTGGGTGGTGCCCGCGCTATTTAGGGTCGATGCACCGTTTGGGGTCCACACTGCCCAGGTGCCCACGAACTGTTTGGGGTCTACGCTGTTGTCGCGCTGTTTGGGGCCCACGCTGCTTGGGTCTACGCGCTGGTTGGGGTCCACGCTGGAACAGACCCCGTTGACTAGCATTTTGGCTCAAGTCGCACACCTTCGACGCCGCCCCCGACGCCGTGCCCGCCGCTTTCACCCGACGCGATGGCGAATGCGGGTCAATACTTCGCGGTGGTGCCATCGGACACGACTGGCCCCCTGAGCAAGTTCCAGATCCACTTCAAGGAGCTGGCCACTACAGGGCCAGTGTTGGCGCAGACTGGGACGAACACGTCGTGGCCGAACGGCGTCGAGGTGAAGAAGATCAAGGAGAGCATCCAGCAGAACTATTCGATCTACGCTGACAAAGGCGAGATCTACATCTACGAATCCTCTGCTGACTTCACTACGACAAAGCACGAACTGTGGGACGAGTACGTCGTACATGCTGGCACGAAGTACCTTATCGCCTCGAGCACGAAGATGGCGATCGACCACCAACCTTCATCGCGGGGGGCATCCACTATGTCCTCTGGCGTGGACGTCGACCCCTTCCTGACCTTCACCGTGAAGATTCAGGACACGGGCGAGTGGGAGCCCATCAAGGTTCCGAATCCTGCGGTTGTGCACGACAGCGGTGGAGTGCGGGTTCTCCTCCTGAAGAAGTGCATAATCTCGCAGCTGGCCTTGCCGAATGGGAAGAAGCTCACCAACGGGGTGCGCATCTACCGCAACAGCGCGGGATGCGCCAAGGGCCTGCCCTTGAGGGGCAACGACGTCGTGTGGAAGAACTCTTGGTACTACGCAATCATCGACACTGATGCTGAGCCCATGTTCGAGTACCCCGATCACGTCTCGCCCGACTCCTTGGATGGTGGCTGGAGGATGGCGGACGCCGATGACGATGATGTTGACGGCCCACAGTAGCGGAGCCTACGGAGCCTGCGCTTTTCCCCCACTGGACCAGCTTGACTAGCTAGGTTCTTTGCGCACCAGCCGATCGCTGGAGGCGCCGTCTGTTTTTCGTTGCCCTTTGGGGGGGGTGGCACGTGCATCGCGCACGCAGTAACGCAACGTGGGAGGGCGGAGAGGCATCGGAGGAGGAGGAGGATCAGGATGAGGAGGAGGAGGAGGAGGAGGAGGGGGAGGAGGAGGACAAGGAGGAGGAGGAGGAGGAGGAGGAGGGAGGAGAGAGAATGACGAGGAGGAGGTGCAGGAGAAGGAGGACGAGGGGGAGGAGGAGGAGGACGACGACGTCGACGTCGACGACGACGATGACGACGACGAGGATCTCTCGCAACCAATCGCCTCGCGCGCGGTTAACCCGTCGCCGCGCGCAGCGCGCTGGAGAAACCGCCTCCCCCTCCTCCTCCTCCTCCTCCTCCCTCCTCCTCCTCCTCCTCTTCGCCCCCTTCCTCCTCCTCCTCCTCCTCCTCCTCCTCCTCCTCCTCCCCCTCCTCCCCTCTCCCCATCCCCCTCATCCCCCCTCCTCTGCGAGAGGGATCTCGTGGAGCCCATTATCTGAGGCGTCATCGCACCCGTCATCTGCGATGGCGCGGGCGATGACGGGCGGTTCCGCCCCAGTCGGCATCCACACGCGCCCGCGCGGGGCGCGGGCTGATGCAAGTCGGAGCGGGGTCGCCCGTCGTCGCCAACGTCGCTTCGCAGATCACGGGTGCAATGACGTTAAGTGTAGCATGTGTCTCAACGAGTGACGAGCAGCATGCAACGCAAACGCATCTAGATTGCAGCACGTATATTGCACCACACAGTGTATAATTATATGCGACTGAACGCTGTTCGGGTTCCAATCTGGACGCACGAGAACAAACGTTCCACAACATGTCCAGGGCATTTCTGGCTCAAATATCCTGCGCCGACGCCATATCCGACGATGGCGACCGCGCCAGGCACGCCGCCATACCCCCCTCCGCCAGGCACGCCGTCATGCCCCCCGCCGTGCTCCGACGATGACGAGCACCGCAGCCGGTCGCCGCGCAGGCGCGAGGGGGCCAGCGCGGAGCAGGCGAACAGCGCCGCGCGT